AGTTATCGTCATCCTGCGCGCAACATTAGAACGATAGGATGCCCCGACTGATTAGATTCAATTTTAATCGCTGGGCGGCGGGGGTAGAACATTTTTGGGAGTGGTGTTGCATCTGGGGTCTAGGTTGATTCGGATGGAAGCACCACGGGTATCTAAAACCGTTTACAGGGCAAGCTTGTGTAGGGGACGGGTACCTATTGGCGTAGTTCAGGTAACTAAAAGCAAATGGCATATGCCTCCAGTAAGGTTTTAGGCAACGATTTAATAGCAGCCTAAACCCCTAGTAAAGACGTCTAATGCCCTTCAGGGCCTTGATGCCCTTTTTTAAGATTTCGTCCTATAAGAGCGAAGTGAGTCTTGACTGGTAATTTCGCTTTCTTTTTATTCGTACTAAGTGCAAGCTGGCCTTTTCTAGTGCGGTCACTTTGCCGCTCATCTTCCTTGACGCTGGCCATCTGCCCAAGTAGTGTGGTCGAGGTCGTGCTAAGTTAGAGTGCTAAGTTAGAGAGTAATTAGAGTTTCCTTCATTTCCTCCATCTTTTAAATCGGACCGACGAGGATTTTCGGTTCAGAACAGAAAACTATTAAATTGGGAAATATTCGGATTGACGTGAATTTGGGGACTATATTTAACTCAATATAAGGTTTAAAAATTTGTTGAAGGTTTATTTTTTTGTAGTTTTCTCTACCTTTTTTACTGGTCTTTTGTAAAATTTATCTACATTCAATTTTTTAGTTGTCGTTAGTCCCCATTTCTATTTTTTGTTTAAAAAAAGTTAAATTCAGGGTTTGACACCCAACTCAAGGTAGCTCTCACTGTGCTGGTTACACTAAACATATTAATAAGCTTCCACAACCACCCTCTTTTTATATTTTAGATATTTTATAAAGGGTCGCTCGCAAACTAGTTGCCGCAGCGGTTGTGAGAGAGGTGTGAGTTAGTTTGACCAAATTTATATTGGGTGATTACCCGTGACCAAAGGATAACGCAAGAAAGTCTTGGGATTGGGCTGGTTTATTATTCCTCTTAGTATAGCGTTATTGCTATTGCTCTGTTGCTGGTTGTCGCTGTCCTCTGCTGCGTTGCTCCTTGCTGGCCGCTACTGTGTCCGACCCAAGTGTCTGAGATCGGGACGGCTCCACCGAGACCCTGGATGTTATGCGAACATCCTACCGGGCCGGCAAAGTGTATCGGCTAGCAGGTGGAGCTACTTTCCGACTTATCGACTGGGCACATTTCCCGTTTGACCTGGATGCCCATCACTCATCCGCCGGTCTCGCCTGCTTTGCTGTTGCCAAGCAGTTCTCCAACATCGGGATTTGTGGGGAGTTTTAAGATTCCTCACATTTTCCTTAACCTTTCCCAAGACTGTATCCCCAAAAGACTTTTCTCATACAGTTCCCTTAAAGACTTGAACTTTCCCACGACTCTTTCCCCAAAAGACTTATCTCATGCAGCACCTTGAAAGACGGTTTACCTAGATTGTGCCCTCGTTCCCCAGAAAGTTCCCCGCTTTGAATTCGAATTTTCCCGCCCAAAACATATCCTCGAATTTAAAATTACCACTTCGTTTCCCTTGGTCCGTCCATCGATTGTAGGATCAAGTGTTGTCATCGTCGTTGTCTTCAGTTGCCAGCGTTGCCATTTGTATGACCTTATATAAAAATATTTGTTAAACCCATCGATCGCAACTATCGATCGACCGCCTGCCGAGTCGCCCCCGTCCCTATTTTCCATGTCCCCGATCCGCGGACTTTTGAAAACATAAAAAAAACCATTTAAATTGTGCTGATGGCTGTATACTGGCCCCGCAGAACCCTGATCTTACCGCACGCCGTCCTGCTGTGGTAGCAGACGCCGTCCTCGATGAACAGCTTGCCGGTTTGCCTCGGACGGCACCCTCGGCGGCCATCCTCCTTCGGCCACTTCATCCCAGCGGCCGTTGTCTGCCGATCGCTTTGGACAGATGGTGCTCCTTGGCCCAGACTGTGTCCCCGATATGTGGTTTCCATGAGCGTCTACGGAGATTGTAGTGCCGTGCCTGATTTCCTTTAGCTTGTGGTCGTTTTCTGACGGAGTTTGTGGTTGCCTTTCGTTGCCGTAGGTTTCCTCGTCGTACAAGGCGTTCGATAACCTGAGCTCTCTTACTTGTGTGACGAAAGCCAGCCCATACCATTGGCCATAGCTCCTCCGCAGCAGCATTTTCCCAGCCGCCTGAAGCTGGCTACGTTTGTACCAAAGGCAACTCTCACAATGGTAACTTGCTGCAGCCCTCGCAATCGTCTTGCCGCGACAGTGCGTCTGCCACTATAGCTGGCCCTTCCTATAAGCGATTTCAAAGTCGTATTGTTGCAGTTCCAGCGCCCATCGTCCGATTCTTCCGGTTGGGCTCTCGAAGCTATTCAACCACTTCAGGGCCATGTGTTATCACTTTGAAGTGGTAGCCCTCCTAGTTCGGTCTTAATTTTCGTATGGCCCACCCAATTGCCAAGCATACCTTCTCAGTGACCGATAAATTCCTTTCTGATTCATTCAAGGACCGGCTAGAATTCGAGCTTACTCGCTCGCCTTGGTCGGACATGTCAAAATTGAGTCGGCGACTAATCTTGCCTTGACGGATTCAAAGGCCTGCTGGTGATTGTCTGTCCACTCCCACATTGTACTCTTTCGGAGAAGGGCGTTCAGCGGATTCACCAGCGGGGCAACATCTTTCACAAAACGCCTGTAACACGACGCCTCTTCCAAGTAATGCCGCAGCTCCTTTTAGCAACGCAATCGCTGATACCTTTTCTGGGTGTGTTCCGATGCCTTGGTCTGTAATGCGATGCCCCAAGTATTGCAGCTCCTTTCTGAAAAACTGGCACTTTCTTTAGGTTTTGCATGTGTTCCTCTAGGTTCCATCCGATGACGATAATGTCCTGATACGCGAAGTCCTGAAGTCTAATAACCTGGTTCAACGCCCGCTGTAATGTTGCCGACGCGGAGTGCAGACAAACGGCATCACCTCCCACTGGAAAAGGCCTTTCCCTGGCACAGTAATCGCCGTGTACTGCCTACTGCCTGCCTCCAAATGTATCTGCCAGTAACCGTCCTTTATGTCGAGGCTGGTGATATACTTAGCCTCCCGCAGTTGGTCCAGAATGTAGTTTATTATCGGCATTGGGTGTGCGTCCTTCACGGTCGATGCATCCTTTTTTCTAGTAGCTCGTCTACTTTGACATTGATCTCGTCCTGCATTTTCGGGTTTTTAGGGTAATACTGCTGTTTGACTGGTTGGCCACGTTGGATGTGCCCTTTCTGCCTTCCAGTTTCATGAACTCGGCCTTTAGGAAACCGCTCCAAATCCTCTTCCGCAAATCTTTTTGGCGTTTCCAGTTGATTTAGGATCCCGGTTGATTTAGGCACTCCTTAGCCCAGTGGCATCCCCGCATCTGTGGCAGGCCTGGGCGGGATTCAGCACGGATCCGCTACGATCGGTTCCTGATTCGTGGCCACGCGGCGTATGCCTCGGTGATGCGACTTCGTCCTCCTGGCACCGCCAGCATACCTGCTTTGTCCTTTGCCTTGGCACCGGATGGATCTGCACCTGCTGCTTGTGAGGATTGTTCTCCAGCTCGAACTTCTCCCTTTGCTTCAAACTCGTCTGCCAGCGACATCAAGGTGTCCAAGTGTCGACTATCTTACGGGCTAATGAACATCCGGAGTGCCGACGTGCTGTTCTCCTTTATTCTTTCCAAGACATGTCCACCACGTAATCCCTAAAGCTTTCCCCGTAGGCTTGTTTTTTTTTTGCCTGACTTGGTCTGCCAGCTTTGTCATGTTTCCTCAAGGAAGGAAGTAGTTTTGGAAGGTGTAAATGAAGTCTCCCCAGGTCTCCCAGTGCCGATTGTTGGCTATGAACCACCTTTTAGGAACTCCGGTATTCCTCTTCGGACTACTTTGTCCAGAAACTCCAGGGGCTTATCTTGTCGTCGTAGCGGAAGTTCCACTTTCGGACCTTTTTGGCTACCTTTGCGTAGTCCTCCATGTGCGTCCTCGACTTTCCTTTCTTTCCCGGCAACTCTCTCGCTGCCGGCCATTGCTTCCGATACTCAAAACATCCATGCTCGCTATCAAGCCCTCGGCACTCGGGGTTGTGAGATTGAACTTTAGTGTGGGTAGCTTCAGAAATTTTCTTTCCAGTCGGCAATATCCGGCTCTCCTCGAAGTCTCTCTCTTTCTCATCGACTCGACTGAGCCCTCAAGTTCTACTCCCAAAACTTGGCTCAACTCGTCAAAATCCTCCTCCGGGAGATTATGAATCCACTACTTTCCCATCCCGAAACTTTTATTACCTTGGTCAGGACAATCACTATAGTCCGCCAAATGTAACGACCTAATTCTTTTGTTTCTCACTCGCTACGTAAACGTGCGGCTAGCTCAGAGAGGTTGAGAGTTCGTTCCACCAAATTTATATTGGGTGATTGTCCGTGACCAAAGGATAACGCAAAAAAGGGTTGGGATTGTGCTGGCTTATAATACCTCTTACTAGAACCTTATTGCTACTGCTTCTGTTGTCGTTGCCCTCTGCGAACGGCTCCACAGAGACCGCAGCTATAGTGATCAAACACGGCTCATTTTGACCGGAAACAAAAGCTGTATGTAACAGCCTACTCTACGATACTAAGTTGTCAGGACTCTAAACATGTAACTTTAACATATTTGGTGTGACCCTATGGCAGTGGCTTAAAAAAAAACACAGTGCATTATCTTGGTAAATGAATGGTCTGTAGCAAAAAGATTCTTATGTTGATTTTTATATATAAGTAATTGTTTGTACATACCTTTGTCCATTGTTTTAAAAAAAAGGCAATGGCGACTTCGTTTTAGTTTCTTATACATTTTCCGACTAATGTAATTTACATTTAGTGATCATTTTAATAGTTTTTAAAATAAATAACACAGGTCATCGGAGTTTCACTTATTTGATTGCTAATAATTATACATTTATTAATCTTAGGGTATTATTGAAACTACAAACACTACATCTGATCTGGCCGGCGAAACCACAAAACCCGAAGTTGATTTGCCAATTGAACATGTAAGTGAAGAGATTATATAAAAATATTAGTGAGTAAGTTCGCGGCATACAAAGATAACAGATTATTTAACTATTTAAATAATTGATAATAATTGTCATATTGGTATGACAATAAAGATTTGTGATTTGTTACAGGATATTGTTAAAAAAAGAATTTGATTTTTGGGAACCACTCATGACTTTTTTCTTAAGCCTAGTACTCAGATCGACGAAAACCGTTCGCCAGTCATGAGAGAGAGCGAGAGGCAAACAGCTGGCGTTCACTTTTCGTCGGGCCTTTTTTCACCTCTGTACTCAGATCGACGAAAAAAATACCATAAAATTTCATAGCGTTGCCAGTCTGCTGAAATGAACTTTGGGTAAACCCTAGAGGAAAGAATAAAAAATTTAATCTTTTGGCGTGCGCTTCTTACTGAACATTTTAAAAAATGGAGGGAAAAAATAAAAAAAACCCGCAAAAGTCGATTACTGGAGTTCACATGTGAGGACAAAATAACAATTAATACTATCTGGGGTGCCTCTTGTCAGAACAAAATGTTTCTTTGGTCAAAAATGTACGAAAAAACACAATAAAAGTGCAGCTATGAACTTTAAATTAGCAAATAATTATCAGTAAATTAAAAAAAACAACTGTTAAATTTAAATTGTATTGTTTTTTTATTTCTTTGTACAGCGGCAGACTTGCCAAGGTATTTGATAATATCTCTTAAAGGCTCTTTCCCGCAAATACGATATTTGAAATTTAACTGCTTGTCAACAAACCCAGATGATTGACAGTACGACCGTAGCACGCTTAAGTCTGATGAACTCTCGAAATTTTGGTCACACTGGAAAGATTAAAGTTTTTACGCTAGCGTACTCGTTTGTCGATCTGAATACTAGGCTTTACGATGAGACATAAAAATCTTTTCACACGAAAATGGTTTATATATTGTATGTAGTTCGTATGAACATTTCATCCAATATTTCTGTGTCAACCCTGTTAAAGGTTCCATAGTCACAACCCGTAATCGATTAAGTTAATGCACTTTGGGTGGCTTTTAAATGAATTTATACGTGCGAATGGCATGGATAAATTATTGATAAAAATATAAAATAAAAATTAAATTGAAAAAAACTCTATTTGTTAGTTTTTGATGATATAGGTAGAGTCACTTGTACTAACCTTTCCATTTCTATAATACCAATCGTTTTTTGTTAAGGATGAAAAGTTTTTTTTAAATCCATAAAAAATATGGATGAGGACGCGGAATGCTTATTAATATTAATATTAATGAACATGATTGTAATTAATTAAGCTATGATAGATTAAAGAAGGACCCTTTAGAAAAATGTTGAGTTTGAAGCTCTTATAGATGTGCACAATTAAGCTTAAAAACTTTTTTATTTGAATTAAATTTTTTCGTTTTCATTCGCTGCTGGGGAAAATTGTTTAGACAGTGGAAATCAGTAAAAACTTCACACACAAATGCAATGCGCGCATCTCATAGTATGTGTTTCGATCGCTGATCACAATAATTATCATTAACAAATGTAACGACCTGATTCTTTATTTCTGCTCGCTACGTAAACGTGCGGCTAGCTCAGAGAGGTTGTGAGTTCGTTCCACCAAATTTATTTTGAGTGACCGCCCGTGACCAAAGGATAACGCCAGAAATGATTAGGTTGGTGCTGGTTTATTGACTCTCTAAAATATAGCCTTATTGCTATTATTCTGCTGCCCGTTGTCGCTGTCTCCTGCTGCGTTGCTCCTGGCTCGCTGCTGCTCTGCTCCTGGCGTGCTGCTGCGTCGCTCCTGGCTTACCGCTGTGTTGCTTCGGCTTGCTGCTCCGGGTGACTGAGATCGGTACGACTCCACCAAAACCCTGGATGTTATGCGAGCTTTCCTACCGGGGCCGGCAAGGTGTATCGCCTAGCAGGTGAACCGAAGTTACGCCTTATCGCCTAGCCACCTTTATCGCCTGGCTTCCGGAGTTCAGCCTGGACTTTGTCGGCAAGGTGTATCGCCTAGCAGGTAGAACAGAGTTCTCCCTTATCGCCTAGCCACCTTTATCGCCTGACACCGCGCAAGGACTCCCTAAGCTTGACTTTATCACGACCTAGCACCGTTGGATCTCAGCGTTGTAGCCTCAGCCTTGTAGACTTGTCGTCGTTCGGCGTCTCGACTTTGCGATCTTGATCCTTGGGCACTTCGGTTTCGATGTTTACTTATTCCGCGTTCACGCACTCGCTCTGATTCTCGCACTCGTACTGTCCCGAGCTGCGCTTGCGCCGTCCTTTTTATAGGCGCTGTATGTGCCGTTATTTCCCTCGGGTCCAAGGTCCACTGAGGTACCGTTAATTCACGGTGTGTCCTCTTTGGGCGGGTCCGAAGTCCGCCAATTTACCGTATGACCCCGTTGCCCTTGCCGGGCGCGGGTCCAAGGTCCATCGAGGTACCGTTAATTCACGGTGTGTCCTCTTTAGGCGGGTCCAAAGTCCGCCCAATTCACCGTTTGACCTCGTTGCCCTTGCCATATGAGGGTCCAAGGTCCGAATGTTTCCCGTTTGACCTGGATGCCCTTCATTTCTCCGGTTTTCTCGCCTCCTCCGCTGTTGCTAGGCCGATCTCCTGCATAGAGATTTGTGGGGAGTTTATGACTCCTCACATTTCCCCCTTCCTTCGGAAACGTAATGAAAGTGGTGACTTTCCCCGCCCTTTATGTTTAGACTACTCGAATTCCCCGCCTGACTTGTGTGTTAGATGTTCCCCAGACAGTTCCCCGAAACACTTAACCTTTGCCCAGACTGTTCTCCTAAAAGACTTTACCCGTACATCTCCTTGAAAGACTTGAACTTTTCCGCGACTGTTTCCCTAAAAGACTTTTCCATGCAGCTCCTTGAAAGATTATTTCCCCAGACTGTTTCCCTGTTCCCCAGACAGTTCCCCGTTCCCCAGACAGTTCCCAGTTCCCCAGATAGTTCCCAGTTCCCATTTCCCAGACAGTTCCCAGTTCCCAAGACAGTTCCCAGTTCCCCTGCGTGGAATTCGAATTTTCCCGCCCAGACATTTCCCCAAAATAAAAGTCACCATTTCGCTTTCCCTCGGTCCGGCAACTCCCTAGAATCTCACCACGATCGCGTTTATCGATTGTGGGTTCCAGTGTTGCCATCGTCGTTGCCTTTTCGTTGTCTTAAGTTGCCATTTGAATTCTTGAACATAGAAATAACCAATTTTGTTAACCCATCGATCGCAACTATCGATCGACCGCCTATCTCGGCGCCCCCGTCCCTATTGCCTATGTCCGGCAACCCGTTACCCCAAAATGTAAATAAACAAATCGCTTTGCGTGTTACAACCATAAAAGGCCTTTTATTGGGCCCTCAAGACCCTTACTACTCCGCTTGCCACCCGGATGCGGTAGCGGACACCGTCTACCACCAAGAGTTTGGCCCAGCGGCTGTTACGGGCTCTCTCCCGCTGTCTACTGGCCTCGGCTGCCACCCTGGGCGGCCACTCTTCCTCGGCCATCTCCTGCCAGTGGCTGCTGTCCGCCGAATGCTGGCGGCTCACTGTCGGCCTGGCGGGTGGGGACCGCGGCTCCGGGCACGATGTCAGCCTGGCGCTTTTGGGCGGCCGCGCGGCTGGCCCTCCTGATGCTGGCCACACCCAGGGCCCCTTCTCCCAGCACTCCGGCTCCCCACCGAGCCGTTTTGCTGGCGACGGCGACGGCGTTGGCACCCACGGCGGCGGTGGAGGCGGAGGTGTCTCCGCTCCGTGCCGTGGTGCCTGGAATGGCCATGTTGCCTGCAGCGGTGACGGTGGTGGCGGTGGCGGTGCTGCTGCCCGGGGCGGCGACGGTGGTGGCGGTGGTGGTGTTGCTGCCCGGGTCGGCGACGGTGGTGGCGGTGGTGGAGGCGGTGGCGGTGCTGCTGCCCGGGGCGGCGACGATAGTGGCGGTGGCGGTGATGCGGCCCGGGGCGGCGACGGTGGTGGCGGTGGAGGCGCTTGCAGCGGCGGCTGCTCCGGGGGGCCTGGCCGGGCCCATAACGCTGCCTCTTCGGCCTCAGCCTCGTCCAGCCGCTTCCGCCACTCCCTGGCTGCTGCGGCTGCCCGTGCCACCGCCCGCTGCGCGAATATTCGCCGCACCACCTCTGTCCGGGTTGCGAGTATGCGCACTGCCTCCTCCGGGTGGCCCGAGGGCGCTGCTTCTCCCAACCGGATCCGCCCGAATCCGGCTGCGGCCCTCCTTATGCGGCGGAATGCCATCCGGGCCTTTGCCGCCCGACGGGGCTCGTCCTCCTCGTCCGACGAGACCTCCGGACTCACCGTCTCCGTCCCGGTGTCCTCCTTGTCTTCCTCTTCCTCCTCGTCGGATGAGGACAGGTCGATGGTGGCCATCTCGGCCTCCTGCCCGGCCGGCCGGACGCCGGTCTCCTCCTCCTCCTCCAGCTCGATGTCGGTGATGCGCCCCTCATCCTCCGATATGGGGTTCGGCGACGGGGACCGCGACACAAGGGGGGACGCCAGCAGCTGGAGTGCGGAACCTGAGTCCCGCCTCCATCTCGCCGCTGGCTGTTGCCCGGTGCTGCCTCCCCGCCCCTCTCCCACCACGATCTTCCTGTTGCTGCTGCTGCGTGTCTTCATCTCGGCGACCTGATTTTAATAGACCCGTCTTGTGGCGCTCGCGCGCTGACGACACCTCGGTTTCCTATGTTTCCGGTTCCGTTATCCGCGGCGGCCTTTGGACTTTCCCTTGCTACGGGCTCCGACGGGTCCCTGCTTTGGTATGCGTTACCCGGTAACGGTATCCGCATCCTCCCTCTCCCGCTCTCGCGCTCCTATTGCATCTGTGTGAGTTCGATACTGTGTATCGTCCTCTCCCTCTCTTCGGAGTCACAGTGCGCCCTTTCTAAGTCCGACTCCGATCCTTTGTTTTGGCCATCAATTACTTGTTTTTTTTAATTGGCTAATGTGGGCGGTTTTTTCTTTGCCAGAATTTTCGTGCCGCAACTTGCAT